ATTGGACCACCCGACAGGCGTCGCCGCCTGGCTTGCTTCCCGCCGTCGATCATCCCGTCTCTAGCCTCTAGTGCAGCAACTTGCTGCCTCCTGCTGGCTGCAAGGGGGTGTAGTGTAGCGGACAAGGAGGGGAGCCCGAGTGTCAACACTCCACTGGAGGCAGCGAAACCCCGGCTTGGCCCTGCGAGTATGCTTGGCTGGGCTGTGGTGGAAGAAGAAGATCGAGAAGCCCAAGTTGAAGCAGAGGTAGAGATGGCAGCAGCACAGCGCCCACCTCTACCTCTTTTGGTACTATGTGCATGTGTGCATCGCATCGCCAACCATTTCTCGACATTTTCAGTGTCGTCAAGTTTCCAGCACATGGTCCCCTCATTTTCAACGACCTGACCCGACAGCCCTTTCAATCACCGCTGAGGTTACAGTCACGCTATTCTCCAGCGGGAGGATGAATCCACTGATCGCCCCCGGGGCCGAGTGCTTCACCTGCACTATTAGCAATTGGGCTGACCAATTAGTGGTGACAGGCAACATTGAGAAAGAAACGAGCAGGGCAAGGCAGCAAATGCCAGGGGCAGGGCAGGAAAGCTCCGAGATCAAACCCCCGACGAGGCACAGAAATCCCACGGCATCTTCTTGACGCTCGCGTGCAGGCAACAGGCAGAGACAGAAGTCAGAAGAGAGGCAGTGTCGTGAGTGTATCCATACGATAACAGGAACAGTGCAAGCCTCGCTTGCGCCCTCTTTTTGATCACCACTTGATTCGCTTCTCATCGTCTAATACAGACCAGAGAGCATCACGCGTTATTGATCGTCCCTCTGAGACCGAGACGAAGAAAGAAATAAGCATATTCGGGGGTGGAAAGCAGCCCTGGCTGGGTTTCTTCACACATTGCCGAGTACCTCGCCGTTTATCGCGACTTTTGACAGCACTCCCAGTCGGGACAATTTGCGCCCACTCCACAGCGGCATCAGAGATCGTCATTTGGCAGATGCGCCCCGGAAGCCCGAGCAGCCGAAGCGACACCGACGAGTAATTTGACCCCCAACGACCTTTTTTCGGTCGAGGCGAAGCAGTACCGTGCCAGTAGTGTACGGATACCTAGTACGGATATACCTTGCTGGGCTCAAGATCTCCATAGATCTCCGTCGGCTTTCATCTCGGCCGCGGACGACACCGACCCAACCCAACGCTCCCAGGCCCTGCTGTTGGTTGTTGTACGCTCGACCGGCTCACATTGGCACATAGGATTTCAGCCTCCAGAAACCACGCTGATCGTACGCTACCTGCGGATTTACGTCAGTACCTAGAGCCGGGCAGACCGCAAAGTAGATAGGTATCCAAAGAACGATCGTGAGAGACACTAGGTCCAAGCCAGTCCCTGGATCTCACTCTGAGTTTTGAATCAGATGTAAGTCTCATCTTTCTATACCCAGGTTGCTGCATCCCTTCGTGCGGATCTCCCGATCTCCTCCATTTTCCCACACCTGGTCTTCCACCGGTTCCCGTGCTTTTCCTGGTAGGTATCCATGATGGTGCCATGAACCCATGTGTAGCAAAATGTACCCTCTTTCAGCTACGCTATCTGTGGCATGGGCTCGCCAACCTTGCTTCATGCCCTTCTCTCACTGTCATTCATACCCTCTTCCCTCGTCTTCGTCTTCCCCCCCCCCCTCAAATCCCCCCAATCCCCCCCGTTTTCGAAAAGGCACGAGCACACAGGGTTTGTATTGGACGAAGAGCTGGGTTGGTTTAGCCTGGGGCATCCCTCCTGTACTATCACACTTGTACATTGCCTGACAGGTCTTGTGCAAGGTGCTCACTTCTTTTTGGGGGGGTGCGGACGGACGCATGCAAGGGTTCAGCCGGTCGGTAGTATCCAAGCCAGATCCAGTGACACTGGAGCGTGCCGCTTGTATCCCGATTGCACAGACTACCACCGCACCCCTCCATGCCGTTAGATGAGCCCCGGTCCGTCCTAATCCTGGCCACATGCCACAGTCGGTCTACGGCCATTCCTCTCGTTCATCCCAACCCTCCCGCTCATTGGGTTTGCTGCAGCTGCTCACAGGAGCTATGGCCAATCACATTACGCTAACTCGCGGTTCGCAGACATCAACCCATCTGCTCTACAAGCTCCAGCTGTGGTTTATCGAGACACGCCTCAAGCCTCTCTTTCCACGATACCCCCCCCTCTCTCTCACTAGGTACGGAGTGTAGGTATTCTCTCACACACTCTTTTCTTTCTCGCTTCCTCTCTTCAGTTCTTCTGTCTGAACGCAAAGTCGATCTGGAGCTCTCCCGCCCTAATAAGCGTGCATCTTCCAAAACTGCAAGCAACAGCGACCAGGGGGTGACGGCCTCTCTGCTTATATGTTTCCTACCAGACCGACTAACACGGCAAAACTGCGCTAGAATCTCCCGTGCCTGTTGTGAGTCTTTTGGTTGAGTATTCTGGTTGTGCCGTACATCATCTATACGTAAGGTACCTAGCAATACCCCGGTACTGCCTCTTGTGCGCGCTGCCGCTCATCACGGGCGATCTTGACGAGTGAGTCCCCTCCATAATTCCTTTTTCCTCTCCTCAATCTCAATCTTTCTCTCTTTTTTCTGCCCTCTTCTCATCCATCTCCTACCTACCTATGGATACAGGCCCCTCGTTCTGGGCTTTCTGATGTTCCCTGTCATTTGTCATTCCCCTTCTTCTTCCTGCAACGGCCGTTTCCTTCTTTCCCTATTACGAACGGTCTCTCCCCTTCAGTCTCCCTGCATGAGAGACCTCTCTTTCTCTCTCTCCTTTGCTTCTCGCTCTTGACACCGCAGCCCCGTGTCTTGCTTTTGGGCTAGAGAGTGATTGAGCTACCTGACCTGTCCACGGTGTCCGAGTAGCAAGCAAGAGCAAATTCACAACATGGGTGACAGCCTTATTCCCTTGACACACCCCCAAATCCTCTACGAAGCAAGTGTCTGCTCCAACTGCATGCCAAATCTTGCCAGCTGAAGCGGTTCCTATACATCATCATCACCATCCACGAATACATACAGCCACTCAAACACGCGCAACACCCATCCTCAATGAACGACTGACTCCCGCTCCCCCACCCTTTTCTCTTCAGATGAATGAGACCTTGTTGCTCATAAGACAACTGGAACCTCGCATCCCAACGGCGGCCCCTATCCCTGCCCAGCCTTGTCAGTCCTCTACAAGAATCCATAACCACGTTCAGGTTACTTCTTGTACGGATACCCGTACCATACACACCCCCCCTCCCCTCATCCCCACAAATCCCACCCGGTCTTGAGTCCCTGCTTGCCCGCTTCTTCCTCCGCCAAAAGCTACCCGTGGACCAGATTACCTCCACTGGCTAGGGAAGGACGCAGAGCCCTCTTCCAAAAGAAACGACGAGGGGTACTACTGTAAGGGAGGGTTGTCGGGATCCCAAAGACGGAGCTATTGGTACGTGAGCTTTCTGTTAGTGCGGCAAGCAGACGAAAAGCAATATCCATCTTCCCAAGGTGCCTGTTCCCTCCCGTGTGGATCTGTCCGGCCAAATCTCTCTGTCGCCACAGACTCGTCGTCGTCGTCTTCCCTTCGACACTCATAACACATGTACCGTACCTGGCCTGCAGGGAGACAGACTAAACTTTGCTATCTCTCTCCATCAGACCTTTGCGAGAAATGCAACACCACTGCCCCGTACCTCGTCAACATTCCTCATCTACCTCCTTCACCCCCGCAACAAAATCAGCGACAGAGTCTGACTTTCTGAGTCCCAGTCTCGTCTCTCCCTCTTACTCCCCCATCTCATACTCTCTTTCTAGTTCCCCCATTTCTGAGTTCGCCTAAGCTGTTCATGCCCGTTGAGCATCATCACACTCGATTCCCGGGCACTTCTGGCTTGGTGGACCTCGCAAACCTACCTCTTTTCTCGCCGGAGAAACGCACGAGTGCTGCGGGATCTTAGGCCTTGTTTCCTTCAAAGCACGCCTGTGTCTAACCTTTTTGTTCTCACGAACAGGTTCGCCATCGGCCTACAGGACCAACGAACGAAGCACGGTTCAGCTCCACATCTTTGGCATCGTCAACGAATTCCGTCTGTTTGTCAACAACACCTAGGCCTGATTGGACACAACACCGACGAATACCCCGGCCTAGACGGTTGAGTACGTGATCCCTTCCTCTGCCTGCAAGCTGGTGCATGGCTACGAACTCCAGCAAGAAGCCGACATGCCACCTGCTGCACCTTGCCGTCCAGCCAGTGGTTCTTGCGAAGGAGCATCACCGCTCTACCTTGGGAGCCATTCAGGCTGACTTGCGTGCCAATGAACAGACCCAGCACGGCATCTTTCAGTCGATTACCAACGCGTTGGAATTCTTGGGTCATCCCGAAACTTGATCTCAGATTTCGGTTTGCCAGCGCCCCGGCGACCAATGACAGGTGCATCGGTCTGAGTCCGTTTCGCGCGACATCTGCTCTCAAAGAGTCGAGTTTGGTTTAAGATTGCCGCTCCTGGGTATCTTCTCAGCCTTCCCGCTTTCTCCGTTTCTCCCAACTTGCTTCGCTCTTCTTAACCTGCTATCATCACCCGGCCCGACCTCTACAGCTCTTCGATTCCAGTCGCGTCAAACCTCCACAATAATCAGAGCAGCCGATCTCCTCAAATTCCTAGCGCCACCAGCCAGCTCGGAAACGCCATCCACATATCTGAGTACGGTGTCTCAAACCAATCCTGCCGGGAGAATCTCCTGAGACTGACGTTCCTCTACTAGGAATTCTCCCTTCCCTCGCACTTGTCCTTGGCCTGTTCAATAAAACTCGCCCGGACTCTAATCACAGCAATCTCAAGACATATCTCTCCCTTCCTCCCTTTGTCCCTCGACGGTCCCACAAGGCCATAGTCTCTTCCTGTCGTTGCAACACTGCTCCCGAAACAGTGGTTTGCATTTTCCCGACACCAGACCACGCATCCTTTCCCAAGTGCACCCTCTTCTACAGCTTGGATGTCTGCTGCGAAGTTTGAGTGTGCTTCCTACAAGCATTTTGAGGTGAGTCAAAACTTTCCATCTCAACGTGGAGTCGAGCCACCCCCAAGACGTTGGTCGCATCACTTCACAACGCCTCAAGTTATCTTGCGGAGTGCGGTAAGGCTGACGAGATGTGCCTCACCGAGAACAGCCCGACTTCCACCCGCAAAGGCCAATAATCATCGGCGAGGAAGGCCTTGACTCGCCAGAAACGGTGACTCTCAAGTACGAAGAGGCAGTCGCAAGGGCCAACGGAGACCTACGGGGCGACTCCCCGCAGGGCGGTCTCCTCCCCATGTCCCATTACGGGAAACCACAGCCAGGCCCAATCCACGGTACGTTTGTTCCTTGTAGCCGAGTTTGGTGAATTTGCTGTGATCTAGTCGGTTGTAATGGAAGATTTGGCACAAACCTTTTGGAGCGCAGTGGCTGACACAACGCGACCTGTACAGGGTATGATTCATCCCGTGGGTATCAGGATGCCGGATATCAGCAATATGGAGCGCAAACCTATCCTGCGCAGCACGGCAGTGCAGGTCAGCTCACCGCAGCCCAGATGAATCAGGAGGCATTTGCAGCCAACAGCGCAGTCGGCTCGTACATGCCCGTCAGCGTCAGCGTCAACCCATCTGTGGTATCATATCAGCCAAATTCTGGAATGGCAGGCACCAAAGTGCAAGTCAAGGTCAACTCGCCGTACGATCTCCTCACTGTAGCGCCTTTCTACTCTCTCGTTTTCGGCGCGAACAAGGTGTCTGCACAACCCACCAAAGAATCCCAGGATAGCAACGGCTACATGTTCACTGTCTCGGCCGACGCACCGCCATTTGTGGTCACCGGCTGTAACAGCGAAAACGTGCCAGTTTTGGTCCTGATTGAAACAGAGAACGGCGAGCAAGTCATGAAGGAAGCGGCGGGCCAATTTGTATATCACGAAGCAGGCCCAGGTGCTAGCTCAGACGACATCACGAGGAAGATATCCAAGTCACCTGAGCAACAACATCAGTCCCCCAGGTCAGCAAGCACTCAGCTCGGCAACGAAGTCAATACAAATACGTACGACTTCGCTACAGCTCCGCAACAACCTGCTCAGACTCCCTATGGAAACTCATTCTCACAAGACAACAACAACAACAACAACAACATGCTCAGCGCTTACCGAACCAACTCCTTCCCGGAGCAGCATTACGCCCGGGCGGTACCCCCGCCGTTGCGGCCGCCGATGGCCGGATGGCAAGCATACGGACGAACGCCCGGCCCCCCCATTACGCACACGCAGATCTCCCGTCCTAGCTTGACGCCGCTGCCCATGCCATCTGCCACGATGCCTCTGCTTGTCAGGACAAGCTCTATCCCAAGCTCTCCTGGAGGTGGACAGCAATCTGGATACAATCATTGGGGATCTTATTCGAACAAGGCCCAACTCAAGATTGTTGGCAAGCTCGACACCATGTCTATCGACTGGTCTCCCGAGGAATGGTCTAACCGAAGACGCATCGTCATGTTCAATAAGAAGCAGACCGGATCGACTCTCACGGCGACCTTCCGGCCCGTCAATGTCAACGAGAGACCACCCAACAGCATTTGCATCAGCTGCATCTGGTGGGCGGAGAAGAACGAGTGCTACGTTACGTCTGTGGACACTATCTACCTCTTGGAGCAGTTGGTCGTTGCCCCAGCCAGATTTACCGTGGAGGAGAAGAACCGCATCCGTCGCAACCTTGAGGGCTTCCGGCCTTTGACAGTGAGCAAGGCCAAGGCAGACTCGGAAGAGTTTTTCAAGATCATCATGGGATTCCCGAACCCGAAGCCCAGAAACATTGAAAAGGACGTCAAAGTTTTCCCGTGGAAAATCTTGGAATCGGCACTGAAGAAAATCATTGGCAAATACAGCGCTAGCCCCTCGTCGACTCTTCCAGCCTCGCACCTCTTGACGCCCACACCGGTCAACGCGTATCCTCCGCCGCTCCCGACACCGCCGGCCCCAACCGTTGCATCGGACCATGTCAGTGCCTATGGTGTTCCATCGCAGGTCCACCACCACGAAGGCTTAACCTCACCGAGGTCGATCACTGGCAGCACGCACAGCTGGCCGGCGTACTCAACTGGGCCCCCGCGCAACCTTTCTCCCGCACTTGCATCAGTGTCCCCGCGGCAATCTGGACTGCGTCTTGCTGCACCTTTACCAGCTGTTACCGGCTACGATAGTCGGTCGATGACGACCCACTCATACGGCGGCGGGCTTCAGACTCCTCTAGGAAACCAGCATACACCGCCATCAGCCCCTGGACGCTGGGATCCTACGATACCAGCGATGCATGCACCGACTACCTACGCAGAGCAGTATCAGTCTATGACTGCGCACCACAACCCGAGTCACCAAGTATACGGTGGTGGCGGATACGGGGACGGGGCGCAACGGGCTTGATGCCGCGAGGCACCTAGGTGGGAGTGAGGGTGCATGGCGGCGGGCCAGGTGAGCGACGAGGTTCCGTCCAAAGAGGCAACGTGCTTCGCGTCTGGTGAGGCGCAAGCGTGATATCCCGGAAGCAACCCAAGTCTTGTCAAGAGTTGATGAAGTGAGTCACTACTTTTCGGTCAGGGGTACGGAGGGGCTTGGAGACACACAGGACAAGCGCGTGAACGAAACACGGGAACAAGAGCAGGATTGGACAAAGAGAAGGGAAGCATCAAGAGATGTCGTCGAAGAGCAAGTCGTACGTCGTTGACTTGATTGGGGATGGTCAGGCTGCGACTTTGGACGGGCTGCAAGAGAAAAAGATGGAGGTGTGGTGTAGGGGTCCACGGGTTTATTCCCCCCCGGTCACACTCACACATACCTTCCGTCGCAGTCCCGGTCTTTGCTCCTAGGTTCACTGAGGTGCTTGACGGTCTGGGACTTTGGTGTGGATGGGTGGAGACCCGGAGGTGCTGTCAGCTGCTGTGGCGCAGACCAATGGAGGTTTCCGGAATCGAATCCACTTTTCCCGATTTAGCTGAAGTCGGCGAATCACCTCTGCCCCGCTCAGCGACCGGCACCGCCTGCTCCACTTCCCGGCATCGACTTTGGGAATTACGAGCCACTTTTCCCCGACGCACCATCCTCAACCCTCCTTCCCCCCTCCCTCTATGCCGACTCGTCTCAGCTGGGAGACTGTTACCCTGTCTCTCTTTCCATCCTTTGGAGGCGGGGAATCTTTCGATGTTTCCCTCTATTTCGACAGCTTTCAGTATGGATGAACCCCTCCCTGAGCCTTCACCGCATTGTCATGACGGACAGACAGCAGGGGCAGGCGGCGTCTAACTTACCTCTCTGGACCACACTTTGTCTCTTATCCATGACGGGACGATTCGAGACGACCTATCACCACCGTGTTTGCCCGCCTGCATTTCGATGACGGATCCGAGCCTCGACCCTCAACCTCGCCAATCACGAGCTGTTTCCTTCGTGCATGATGGGTTGGGGGTTGTATCTGGTGATCGTCTCTTAGAGGGGCCGCCTGCATCCGTCCGGCCTGCATGACGTACATCATCTGCGTCAAGGAGCTACCGAAGGACACCGCGCCTTATCCGCCTGCTTCAAATGCTAGTCACCTACTCTGTCTTCTCCAGACTCGTCTGCCAACCGGCTTGTCTTCGACCACTCGCTTGCCTTCCCGCGAGGCCTCTTCGGTCGTGCATTGGCGTTCCCGTGTTCCATACATGGGTCTCAAGGGCTCACCCGAGCCATTCACATGGCCTTCAAGCCTAGACAAGCGCCCTAAATCAACGACCTAGGACGAGCCGGCTCATCTGTCACGAAAAAGAGAAGGGAGTATGTTCTAGCCAGGAAATCAATTTCCCGAGCCAGGATCATTGGCAGCCTCCATCACCACCACCATCACAGCAACCAGAGCACGCCTTCCTTGGCTCTCGACTCGCCTCACAAACGCGGGTGGCGCGCCTGAGTTTATTCCCACGCAGCAAGTCCGACCCTCCACACTGCGCATTTTCGCTATCAACCCCAAGATCGGCAAAGACGGGGCGCAGACTGATGCACCTCCGACCGCGACGCTGCTAGCGACGCGTACTCTCGCGGCCTGGCCTGGCTCATCATCTTGGCGTCGATTTACCTACCACACACCATCATGCCTCCTTGCCCGAGACACTTTCATACTTGTTTCAGGAATGACTGCAGTTCGAGCTGCCCACTGTCCGCATAGAAGGATACAACGGCGTTTGTCCTCGGCTTGTTTGGTGATAGACTCGGTTGCATTTTGCTCATCTTTCCCCCTTAGAGGACCGCCCACTACTACCCCACCAACGACTAGGCATTGCCACCAATACGACTTTTCCCGCCTTTGCTGCAAACCCCCCTGGTGTACTGCTAGCAGCATTCCCATGGTTCTCCGTGGGACTTCACATCGCTTATCTGGACGACGTCTCGGCAATCTCAACCATACACGACAATCACCTCTACATCACTACAATCACATCACTTGCGCTGCGACGACACTCCTTGTTCTGGATCCATCCTTCCACACCACAACACCCAACATACCCTATACAGCGTTTTCATTATCTCTCTCTCTCTCTCTTTTTCTCTCTTTCTCTCTCTACCTCCTATACATCTCATATTATCTCTGCATTTATCTTTACCGGCGCGAAGGGGACAGGGGTTGGGATAGAACAGGGGAGAACTTGGACTGGTACCGGTCGAATCATGTAAGACTTTCTAGAAGACAAGTCGAAGAGGGGTGGGGGGCTGGAATGGACAATGTGCGGACAGAGCGACGGAGAATACACGGTGTCACAGGTGTCTTTGGTATGCTACAGACCGGGACAGGTCGGTTCTCGGGGAAATCAGGTAACGGGGATACAACATTTTGGTGGGCTGCACATAGCATTATACCCTTCGCTTTGCTTTTGATGGCTTCGGGATCCGGGTTTTCGGTATTGTCACATATGGGATAGTCTCCTGATAATCATAATCGCTTGACATCTTTAAGAACTTGGTCTTCGTTGTGCTCGCTGTGTGATGTTGAGTGATTGCGCTTGATAAACGTGCCCCTCTGGTGGTGACGGCATATACATCGAGATATATCGCACCTTTCAGCGGCCGTCTTGGAAACAGTGAGGCAGCGCCATGTGGTCGTAAAAGAGAATCGTCTGATTCACTGCTTCCACCGAGCAAATGAGGCATTGCCAGCCATGATGAAGGTGATTCAGTAAGACTACCTTGAGCTGCATAAAAAGAAGCCATGTCTCATGGTCGCAATCATCACCATCAAATCGCCCGTCACTCAAGCACTGGCATCGAGTTATCTGATGATTGAACTAACAAGCTCAGCTGACATCTCCATCAACATCGCAAGCTCTTTAACAAAACCACAACTTAAACAAAGGCAAAATGGCAAGCAACGCGAGTGTCAACGCCCTAGTAGGCCTACTCTCTTTCATCATGATCGTCTCCTTCTTAGTCTTCTGCTTCCTCATGTACATGCGCTTCGTCAGGCGGCTCACCTTTATGCCCATCAACCTTGGACCGCGCAGGGGACGGAGTAGCACGGCCGTCCAGGGGAGTGTCGCCGGCGATACGAATGGAGGAAATGAGGGCCGCGCAGGGGGAGCAGGCGACAGCAGAGACGTGGGCAATGAGTTGGGCCGGACTGGTGGCGTGATGAATGGCCAGGGACCGGCGAGGGTGGTTTGAGGTGCTCGGAGGGAACTGTCCGAGGTTGGAGATAGGTAGGAAGCCTGGGGATGGTTCAAGGTTGCTCCAAGGCAGGGTAAATGACTTGGTGATGGACGAGAGGCTCGATGGTTGAGCTTTGGGGGGAAAAGGCCATGGAATTCAGTACGGCAGTCTTTGATTTCAGCCAGGGTAGGAAAGCTCCAGTTTTCTAACAGTACAATATAAACTCCAAGGACGTTCGAGACACATCAGATACGCGTCAAGTAACTCCTGCAACCCAAAGACTTGCAAACGATCATGAGAGAAAACCTAAATGCCGCCTTCGACCCCGCCCCGCCTTTCTCCTTCTCAAACTCCAAACCGAATAAATCAACGGGTACCTTGACAATGGTAGGCCCCTTCTATAGTCTCTTTCGTGATGTTCACCGTGGCGCATGCTTCTCGAAGCCATCGAAGCTGGTCGTCCCTCATCTTCATATTGTTATCATGCGGCAAATGAATCGTGATGCTTCTCGCCTCGGGCTCTCCATCCTCTCCATTCGATTTCGGTGCCGGGAGTAAGGATTCGGGAGTCCAGGTGAATCTCTCTCGAGATCCCTCGGCCGTCTGACGTGCGAATTTGAAGGCGCCAAAGAGGTCAAACACGTCCCTCTTGACGACGGGCCCGACAGCGTGGCTCCAGATCCTGTGTATGGTCCCCCAAATTGGCTTTCTTAGCACGCCCACCTTGTCCATTTCATTTTCGGCTTTCTTCGCGGGATCCGGGACCACTACGAGCTCGCCTAGAGAAGGGTCCCATTCTGGAGGTTCTTGATGGCCCGGGGGTGCGACGGTCATAATCTCCCCGCAGATCTTCTTGCAATTGTACCGGTCGAATTTCAGGGCAATGTCCTCATCGGGAGATTTCAATGTAGCGAGATATCGTTGGACACCGGTTGGTCGACAATACCTTGGCGGCGCGACGTTTTTGCTGACTCTGCCCCCTTGGCTTCCATGCCTCTTGAGAACGACGCCGTCGCCGCCAACATCCGCAGGACTCGTCTTCCTCTTTGACCTATTCGACTCCTTAGATTCCTTGGGCTTCAGCTCCTTGGTCGACCTGGAAAGCCCATCGCAGAGTTCTCGCCAAAAGTTTCTCACCCACAACTGGGCTAGCATCGAATGGCGGCCGTAATCTTCATCTCCAAAGGGTTTGTAGACGATCCCGAGTAACCATTGTGTGTATCTGAGCGTTTGCTCTTCCACAAGATTTTCAAAAGGGACGTCATCAAAGCCAAGGAGAAATGGGCCCACTGGGCTTTCGCGGCGCCGCTCACTGCGATGTCGGGCCTCCACGAGATCTCCTCCGAATGGACGTACCAGTTGCATCTGGTGGCAGAGTAGACCTGTCAAGTATATGGCTTCACAGTCTCTTGTGACTGTCGTCTGAGCCCCGGTTGCTGTATTTCGCGCATAAAGCTCAGTGCGCAAGCCCTGGATGAGCTTCGGCAGACCGATGGTTCCAATGGTGAAGTTGCTCGCAAGACCGGCGTGGACATTCTTGACCGACCACCAGGTCGGACTATCCAAGTTTTCGAGTTCAACCATGTTCATGCCGTCATTGTCAACGTCCATTGCGTCCCCATGTGTTGCCGAATTGGCGGCCCTTATAGTGAAGTCGATCCTGGTACCGGTATACTCCTTGGGCAGGTCCCAATCCTCCTTGACTACCTGTAACCTCGGCCAGGTAGTATCTCGACGAAACAAATGCCGGACCCCTTCGCCGACAATCAAACCACCATGGCCAGCGACGTGGTCGATTCGACGCTCCACGAACCAGCGTGCGTGGAAGCCCAAGTCAATCCAAGCCTCCTTCAACTCAGGTTGGTCGTCCATTGTGTTTAGACGCTGGGAGTCTCTTGAACACCGAAGAGAAACTCCCTTGCCAACGGCAAGACCCCACAACACATCGAGTCTATTGAGCAGGCATTGCCACATTTCAACCTCGTACAAAGCCCACTGGACAACACGTCTGATGATGTCGTTCATTAAACCCTTCTTTGCATCAATGTCACGTACCTCGAAATGAGGGAGTCGACCGTGAAATGGCACCGCCATTGCTGCCTTCTTCGGTACAAAGGGGGCGTAGGGCTGGGGCAGCTCGGATATGAGTCCGTAGTGCTGCTCAAATTGCTCATCGACGCATTGCTGGAAGTAGAATGGATCATTCCGAAGCCTCAACAGATGGTCTTTTGACCACTTTAGTTGTCGCTTGAACCTCGACTTGAATTCGTCAGGCCATTCCGGAGCGAGAAGGGCCGGTGGCATGTACGACCCGTACTCGACTATTCCCTCTTGTACGAGGTCGAAGATTCCGATTGGATGGTGTGCTGATTCCCAGGCAGCGACTCGGCTAGGGTCGATAGTCTTACTATTTACTTCTCGTTTTGATTGGCCGCCTTTAAGTGCTATTGCTTTGGTGACACCGCACAAGACTCGGTAAAGCAGGGCTTGGGCAAGGAGGAGATGAATACCGTCGGCCCAGCCAAAAAGGCGACCTTTCTCGCGTAATTCCGTGAACAGCGAGTCTTGTTCACAGTCTTTTTCGGCAGAAGAGCAGATCAGTATATAGTCGTTCATGAAGTAGGAATACGGGGTGCTTCGTTCCGTCTGTTGGCACCGCTGGACTTCTGATGGAGTGAGAAGCCCAATGAACCGGTCGTCGGCAAATTTGGGCAGAAACAGCTTGCTGGCTCGACCGAGATGAAGTGCTTCCCAGTCTGCTAACGTAAAGGCACTGGGTTCGCAATTGATTCGGTTTAGAATGAGATGTGCCAAAAGCTTGGGATTGCTGAGATCTTCTTGGTTTATCATAGGTAGTAGGAAAATCCTGTAGGCCTGATGCGTGTCGCTGGAGGGATCATCTTGATACGTAACGTTCTTGAACGAGACTTCGGCACCTCCATTCTTGCATGTACGAGTCTCGACATGTTTGAAGAGCCTGTAGTATTCCTCCAAGTCGGCGTTGCGATTGTGCGGAGGCTCGCTGTCTGTTCCAAAGAGACCGAGTTCGGGATGACGGACGAAGGCATATTTATATGCCCCATTGACGAGTGACAAGAGCTCGTCGCGGGGCAGGGATGGCTCGTTGCTGAGAAGGTTAGTAATTACCTCCACATCAACCTTCCCACGGAGGGCTCTGAATTCTGCTTGTGATTCGGAGAGGGCTGTAATGATCTGTCTTTCCAGTTTGCTGGCAGTTTCTTGGCCTATCAGCTCTGTGGAGATGAACTCGTGTATTGCATCTCGCTCCTTGATCGGCTCTCGAAATCCAATATCTACTAGGCTTTGTGGAGGTTTCTTGTCGCGAGTGCTCCATGGGCCGCCTGGGAGCCAATTGAGCGATGAGTAGATCTTGTCCAAGTATTGTTCTGATTCGTCATAGACGTCCTGCGATGGATCTTGCATAGTGCATCACGGACAAGGCGGGTGAAAGCCTTGGGGTGAATGCGTTTTTGAAGGCCGACAGAGTAGTGCGCAGATGGCCAACGTCGAATAGAGGGAGCAATGACGACAATTGAGAATGATAATAGCAGCTCTCTGGACGATGATCTAGAAAAGATAGCTTGGGAAAACCTGTGACAGAATGGGCTGGCATACGAGACGTCACAAACAATGAAGAGCGAGACATGGCTCAAGTAGTGTGTTGAGGGTAAGATTAACATAGACGAGATGCCATGATGGCGAGGCCTGGAGAAAGCTACGGGGGCCAAGGGAGAGGGGAAGGCATTCAGTTCCAATGGCATTATTCGGGGAAGCACAAGGAAAGAGGCTTCTCTTCTTCGAGGAACAACAATCCCATGACCTGACAAAGCAACGAAAGGACAGGGAAGAGGGACTTGGCCAATGATAAGGCAATTATTTCTGTCATCTTGATAGATTGATGAGAAAGAAGGGGCGTCGAGCTTTGTAGAACGGGACGAATTGTTCTTGGTGATAGTTGCCCTCCAATGGAAGCCCAGAAGAAGTTTGTGGTGGAAGAGTATCCTAGCCAAGGGATTGAACAAGAGGAAAGTTCGGAAGGGCAAATGACATACTTGACGAGTGGGAAGGGAATTTGAGGGGCAGAAGTGTCAACGTGACTTGATAGCTTCAAACGTCCGTTCAACTTGTTTAAGATGGGGTGAAGTGCAATGGAAGTAGGTTGACGAGAACGTGGTGAGACTTCTGTCCTTGTTCAGATGAACGAGATCAGATGGGCCACCTCAGATCAGTGACTCGCGTCAGGTCTTCAAGTACTCATGTACTCCGTACCTTGCCTACCAGGTTTGCTTTCCAAGTGCATGGTTCCTGACTTAGCCGTCAGTAGCGCGCATGTTGGTGGACAGCAAGTTCTGGCAAGTTGCAACATGTTAAGGAGGGTCTTGCTGGAGTGATTCGTGAATGGTGACTGTGGCTGTCAAGGAGACTTTCCGGTGCCGGATCCGGGAAGGCAAGGGAAGACCATGCTTAATCGAGTTGAAGCTGCGGGTCCACGGATAGGCAAGACCCATTATTTCCATGAACCAGCAAGGACTAGCGTCCAGTTTAATGAGTGGCGCTCGGCGCGCAGGAGCCATCTAGCCGGGCCCACCGTCCCACGTCGTATTTCCACGAGGGCAAGAGCCAAGAGGGTCAGGTACGCCAGGGTCCTTCCTTCTTTTTTTTTTTGTTCTCCTTCCTCGCCTGACTTTCTTTGTTTCGTTGTTTCCCGTTGTCAATGAAAATGGCCGATCGTGATAGGCAACTGCGTGGAAGAAGCAAGAACCCCTGAGAATGTTTCTGGAAAGAACACATCCATCATCCGTCATCCATCATCCATCATCCACCTATGAACCGGTACTCCTGAGTCTTGGGATGAGGCCAACTTGATGAATGAAGTGACAGTCAGCTACAAGTACCTACAGACCCAAGTTCCACGGCGGCCATGCCCAGAATCCAGGGGTAACACGTCTTTTGCCCGCCCAAGGTCAGCACAGAACGCGCCATTGGGTAGACGTTTGGCCAAGACTAATGGACAAAGGCATCAACCCTCAATAATATCAGCAATCGGCCCAGCCCAGCCCGGGCGCCGCAGTAGCTCAACCACCTCAGCTTGGCGGCAGGTGGGTGGTATTATTGACTGTCACACACACACACACACTCTCTCTCTCTCTCTCTCTCTCTCGCCCCTCCACTCCCACCGACCGACGTATCCGTAATCATGTCCACAGCCTGCCTACCTACCTGAGCACCTGAAGGTACCTTACCTCACGGTCAATAGCCCGGTGAGATGCAGAGCTGAAGATGGCCCTTATCGCGCAAAGACATCCAAGACACGCTACTGACGTACAGAACGCACCAGTGCCTGCGCCAGTCCCAACGCCAAACGCCAGCGGCAACGCCAAACCAGTAAACGCCAACGCCGGCACCGCCAACATGGGATTTTTCATTCCTGTTTTCTCTTCTTCTTCCCCCTCCTCCCTCCGAGCTGCCGTTTCTTTCACACTTCCTCTCTCTTCAGCTCCGCCTCCTGCCTTGTTTGTGCTTACGACTTCGTTTCTTTGAGGAAGGCAATTCTGTTTAAACCATCCATTGTCACTCGTTTTTCGTAACCCTTCTTGCTGATCGCCCTGCCTCCCATCACCACCAGAATATCCCTACCTTAATTCTGCCGCTCTCCACACTCGTTCATATACAGTTGTTGTCGACAAAGACGGAAACGCAGGGATCAAGATTGCCTCTCTTGTCCAACGTTGCAAAACACTACGATAGCCGAGTCCCATTGTCAATTCCGAACCCAATACACTCCAAATAGCAAACCACAGCCCCTGCGACATCCGTCGTCGCTTTTGCCTCAAAGGGCCACCCAAATCGAATCGATCTGAACCGCCCGGCCCCCAGTCACTGTTCAACCGGGTCTCACCCACTCGAGCCTCAACCTTGAACCCGCCCACCATGCTCTCCACATTCCTCCTCGCCTTGGTGCCCCTTGTGGCAGCGACATCCTCCTCGAAACGTGGTCTCGTCTTCACCCCGAACTCCAATTGGCCTCAGGATAACCAAGTATGGGTTCAGTCAGGCTCCGATCTGACGTGGTATTACAACTACCAGGAAATCCCAAGCCCGGCCTTCTCGGGGAAAACTCAGGCCGAGTTCGAGTTCGTACCCATGATGTGGGGTGTCTCATCGAACCCCCAAGACACGGCATTCCTCAAGAGCGTGACGAGCCTGATCAAAGACAAGGGCATCAACATCACCCACGCTTTGGGCTTCAATGAACCTGATGGTCCCTCACAATACGGTGGCAGTGACGTAGCTCCCTCCATCGCTGCCAAGGCCTGGGTCGCCAACTTCATTCCCTTGCAAGAGCTTGGTGTCAAGGTCGGCCTTCCTGCCTGTACCGGCGCACCGGGCGGGTTGCCCTGGTTGAAGCAATTCCTGGGCAACTGCTCCGCGCTCATTAGCACCGACTCGGAGACCAAGAACTGCACATATGACTTCCTCCCGGTGCATTGGTACGATAACTTTGGAGGCCTGGCCAGCCACATTGGCGAACGTGTCGCAGCGTACGTTATCATCCATCTCTCATGCTGTGTGCTGTCCGTGTGATGCTGATATTTACCTAGGTTCCCCGATACCAAGATCTGGATCACTGAGTATGCCTATGCCAACCAGGACCTTTCAAATACCCAGGAATTTTACAACATGAGTGCCGAGTACTTTGACCGCATTGATTATATTGAGCGTTACACCTACTTTGGTGCTTTCCGCTCCAAGACCAGCAACGTTGGCCCCAACGCCTCATTTTTGAACAACGATGGCAAGTTGACAGACATTGGCTCATGGTACCTCGGCAAGAGCGCCACGGGGGTTAAGCCGACGTCTGGTGACAGTAGCGCCGCTGTTCGTGGAGGCGCACCGATGCTTACCGCGATGGCGGCGACTATGCTCGGCGCCGTCTTCACTTTCACCTCATGATCAAAACCGGCAATCTGTAGATTCGGTCCTCATCAACACGAGATGTGGGACTGCCCAGTACTATTTCATGACGATGTAGGGCGGGGTATATACAACCCGTGGGAACTTGTTCACCATATAGACGGAACCAGGCGTGTTCTCCTGTTTCCTTTCCACATATTTTCTAATGTTTCTTCTTATATCGGGTTATAGAACGCGACCCATAGGTACAAAGAGCGACGAAAAGGTGTCGCATCAGGATTAGAAGGCAGTTGGGAGATGCCTGGGTACGAATAAGATTGACGACGTTAAGAATGTTTACGATACGTATGATGATGTTGAACAAAGTGGTATCGTTGATTACTATATCTTTTATCCCTTGTACTTTATGGCATCCTCGGCCTATGGCCGGCATTGGCAGGGTAAGCCGTGGGGTTTGACTTTGATACCGAACATGGTCACGAACTCAAAGTCGAACCAAGTGTCATCTGATAAAAGGCCGTGTTGGTCAGCAATTCAACGGCAGTGGCTGTCAAGCCGGTGACGGCCAGTAAGACCGGGATTCGCTGCGATGCGATGGCAGCAAGACGTAGCCGGCGGACGGTATTTTTTTGGCAAAGAATGACCTCGGCGAAAGATGTTACTGGGTGTTAGGATTTACTCGTAAGAGGCCACAGTGAGCTAACAGATGATATCCTCCGCGCTACTGCACCCCAGACTCCATGGGGACCCCCATTACTCAGGTTCTCGACTCCTACTGGCCGGCTCTGTGGCCGAGATGCCTCGGTCCAATTGACTCCCCCACAGCCCACTGGTCTGGGCTGGAACACAACGCCTGGGGAAAGACCCGAGCCCCGACACGATTGCCGGCAGCTAAGCCGTCATGAACCATGTCTACTTGACTACTTGACGCTGCTGGCCCCCCTCCTTTCAATTACTTGTCGACCAAACTCTCGAGCTTATTTTCCCCTTAACTTCACTTCTTCTCTGTCCTCGGTCTTCCCTTGTCTCTGGAAAAAAAAAGCAAAGTCGTCGTCGTAATATCTCCACACCATATCAGACATCATGGCTCTTGAGAGAATCGGATCCATTGTGAAGCACCTGGCACCAGGTAGCGCCCTCAACCAGATGTACGTACGGCCCCTTTGCGCACATGTGATTGCGTGGCTCCGATTCGGAGTATCACCACCCACGTCGAACAGACCAAAGAGCTGACATTGTGTTCTCCCTACAGCACCTCCAAGAACCCCGACGATATCGTCATTACATTAGCCGTCCGTACGCCTCTAGCCAAGGCCAAGAAGGGCGGCTTCAAGGACACGACCCTCGAGTACATGGTGTACGCCCTCCTCAAGGAGGTCCGCGAACGATCAAACCTCGACCCCGCCCTGGTTGAGGATATTTGCATGGGAAATGTGTGTAGCCACGGACAAACAGCATCCTCCTACTCCAACATAATAAACCGCTAACCCTTTGACTCCCATAGGTCTCCGATGGCAAGGCCGCCTACAAGCTCCGCGCCGCTGCCCTGGCAGCAGGCTTCCCCAACACCGCCGGCGCCTCCTCCATAAACCGCTTCTGCTCCTCAGGCCTCAAGGCCACCGCCGACATCGCCAACGCCATCAGCGCCGGCTCCATCGAGGTCGGTATCGGCATGGGCGCCGAACAAATGACCATTGGCGGTGACGCCCTCGACCAGCCCTTTGACGAGGCCGTCGTCTCCCAGTCCCAGGAGTCGGCTGACTGCATGCAGCCCATGGGCTGGACCTCGGAGAACGTCTCGCGCGACTTCAACCTGAGCCGTGAGGAACTCGACAAGTACGCCGCCGAGAGTTTCCAGAGAGCCGAGAGGGCGCAGAATGCGGGCTGGTTCGACGACGAGATTGTGCCCATCAAGACCAAGATTGTCGGCCCCGACGGCGACGTCAAGGAGGTTACTCTTACCCGCGACGAGGGCATCCGGCCTGGAACGACAGCCGAGAGCCTGGGCAAGATTCGTTCCGCGTTCCCGCAGTGGGGTCCCACTACCACCGGAGGCAACGCCAGTCAGGTCACTGACGGAGGTGAGTCCTTACGCTCATATTCTTAAACTACAATTCGTTAGAGTATGCTAACTTTTTACCCAGCTGCCGCCGTTCTCCTGATGAAGCGCTCCACAGCCATCAAGCTCGGCCAGCCCATCATCGCCAAATACGTCGGCTCCACCGTCGCCGGCCTGGCCCCGCGCATCATGGGCATTGGCCCGTCCGTCGCCATCCCCAAGCTGCTCGCCCAACACAACCTCGCCCTCGCTGACGTCGACGTCGTCGAGATCAACGAGGCCTTTTCCAGCATGGCCGTCTACTGCCGCGACAAGCTCGCCCTCGACTGGGCCAAGATGAACCCCCGCGGCGGCGCCGTCGCCCTGGGCCACCCGCTCGGCGCCACGGGCGCGCGGCAGATTGTCACCGGCCTGAGCGAGCTGCGCAGGACGAAGAAGAAGATTCTGTTGACGAGCATGTGTATTGGTACGGGACAGGGTATGGCGGGTCTGTTTGTCAATGAGGCTTCGTGAAAGTAAATATTGGAAAAACAAGCAGCTGAGAATGTGAATGATTGTACGATCACTGTGTCAGCCCAATGTGCCATCTATTTCGTATGAAGTTTTATCCACATTAGCAGCTTTGGTGATCTTGCATACCAGTAAATGCTAGTGAAGATCAAGACGGCAAACAACGAACCTAGTCTCGCCATACTGGAATCTATCGATGGAATACACATGTCACTAGCAACTCGGCCCTGAGACATACTTGCAAAACCTATCGCACCGCTTTTAATATATACTGTCTATATACGTATCCATAACGCTCTCGTTGCGAATCATTAAGCATAAAGTATGCTTCGTAAGGCGAACAGATATCCTGCAAGAACTGAAAATCGGAACGCCTTTTCTCGCTCCAAAATGCTGGTGACCAAAAACACGCCCATTCTACTTACACACTGACTCTCATGCACCCGACGATTGAAAGCCGACAGGCTTGCGCTCCGCTTTCAAGCATTCGCGACTTCGCTGATGCTGTTCTCGTACTCGGTCAACTTCAAAGCCTCCTGAACATCCGTCACAAAGTGTGACTCCCCGCCGACCAGGTCTATGATGCCCGCTTGTCTCATGAGTCTCCAGATGTGATGGCGCGGGTTCGTGGGACCGCGGCTGAAGAAGACTCTAACACCACGCTCTCTATACCCGCTAACAATCTCCAACAGCACCTGCGTTCCCGACCCGTCCAGTGAAGTGACACCGTGGATATCGAAAATGACGTTCTTGTTGTGTTGCTCCGCGCGCAGTCTCGGCAGCGCAGGGTGCGCCATGCTCGTGCCGTAAAGCTCCAGTCTTCGAAGACGCGCCTTCAGCTCGCCCGTGTTGGCAAAGGTCAAGGGCTCGGGAATCTTGACAATCAGGCAGCCCTCAACGAACTCTAGCCTATCGGGGTTAAGCTCGGCGTTCTCAAAGCGTTGTGTACCGGGAATGCGGCCCAGAATCTGAATGCGGGGACGGGTCGAGTGCTGGATGACCTGGAGCAAAGACAGACCAACGCCAATTGCCATTCCAAGAGTGAGCGAGTAGAAGATTGTCGACACGAAAATAATGAGCATCAATCCCAATTCGGTCCAGCCTCTAATCTTGAAGAAGAATGCAATGTCGTGTGGGGCCTCCTCGAGTAGGGACCATGCTACAACGGTAATCATGGACGACAAGACCGGTTTCTGAGAATGTTAGATGGATGAGATACTCCGGGGAAGTAGAAACTTACGGGAAGGTAGTAAAAGTACGGCAACAGGAAGAATACGGCCAGAAGCGTAATCAGACTGAGGAAGATGGAGCTCATTGGCGTCTTGCCGCCGGTCTGCTTGTTCAGTTTGCTTCTACCATAACCTCCAAAGGCGGGCAAGCTCATGAAGCAAGCTCCGACGATGTTGGCGGCGCCCAGAGCGACAAGCTCTCTGTTGGGGCTCAGCTGGATACCGTACGGGCTGTCAGAGCTGCTCAAACTTTTCGCTGCGACGGACGACTCGAAGAATCCCAGGAGTGCAATCAAGAAAGATGTGCCCATCGCCTCACGAATATGCTCCATGTGAGAAGTCTGGAAGGGCCATCGGAACTGGAAAAGATGACCCGAAGCCGCCTTGACCGGCCCAAGAATCTCAACTCCCTTGCTCTCCCAGTCGAACTGCCAAGAGAGAATTGCGGCAATGACCACGACGAAGAAACGGTCGGGAATATACGCAACCCCAGGGTACTTGGGTACCATGTGTTTCTTGAGCTCCCTCATAGTCATCATGATTACGAAGCTGATTCCAGCAACCATGAAGGTAAGCTTGTGAACATGGTCGAACGAGCTGAAGATGAATTCTAGCTTGTCCATACTGCTTCCATGGCCCACACCCATTTCTGCCGCATACTTTGCAAGACCAAGCTCGTGAATGGACTGGTCAACCGCAATAACGAAGCCAATCGCAGAGATGAAGCCGCGCAGGAATGGCTTGCTGAGAACGCTGTCGAGGAAGCCCAGGCGGGCGAGACCCGCAAGGAAGACAGTGGCACCAGCCATACCCGCCACGACACCACAGATCTTCGCCTGGACCTCAGCGTTGTACTCGTCGCCTTTGTCATGGTCGATGCTACCTCTGACCACAGACCCGACCAACAAGGAGCCAGCAGCTTCCGGACCAACTACCATCTGAGGCGCGCTACCGAAAACGGCGTATACGAATGGGTTGAAGACGAAGGCATACAGGCCATTGATCGGAGGAACATGTGCGAGGTTGTCGGCGAGGGACAAAGCCATGGGTAAGTAGAGGGAGGCGAGCGTCAAAGCTGCAACAAGGTCTCCCTTTAGATACGACCATTGGTACTGCGGCAGCCAGGTCAAAAGAGGGATGTAGTACGAAAGGTACCTGCAAAAGAAACAAAGTTAGCAAGCAGACTTGAGCGCCAGAAAGCTCCACCTCCTTGGCCAACTCACATCCAAACAGTATCCTTGAAGCCGGCCTGCTCTGCTAAAGTTCTCGAAGAGTGCATCTTCTTGCTCTTTATCTTCCTCACGAATCGCTTTCTCCAATGGTCGTCGCCCGTGATCGCGGTCAGGACAGGGTCCAAGATTGGGATTTCCGACGCTGAGGACGACGCTCTGTCAAAGTCGGGATCCATGCTACCAGCAGGACTGGCGGGTCGCGGCGAGAAGGTCCCATGAGGGTAGCTGTTAGGTAGTGGGTTGTCGATGAGAACGTTCTGCAAGAGGCTCGTGGACTCGCTCGGCGGAAACGTGTTCGGTCGGTTTAGGCTGAAGCCGGTGCGCGAAGGATCGCGAGGTTCGTTGTCGTTAGGAAGAGGGGTTGCAAGCGGGGTGGCATCCTCGCGAGTGCTCAAGTATTCAGATTCGCCGCCGAGAGAGCTTGGAGATTGGATGGGAGAGCCCATGGTGTAGCTCTGGCGCAAACCGCTAGGATTTGCTGGGCGGTGTGTTGTCTGTGTTGTTTGCGTTGTTTGCGAAGGAGTGCGACTCGGCTGTGGTCGGCTACCTGACATTTTTTCGTTACCCCCAAACAGGATGACGTTACAGGTTCATGCGGCGAGGGGCAGCAGAGAGAGAGAGAGCTAGAGAAATGCTCAGATGAGATTGGCGGGGTGGGTTAAGCGAGACTGGATCTTGAGATGTAGATCGATTCAGAGGTTCTTTTGGATTATGCGTATATACGGCACAATAGCGGTCTTGTTGGTGTTGTTGTTTTGATGTTAAGGGAGGTTACAGTGTATTCGTCTCGAGTCTAAGGTAGGTTGCAGATGTTGGCTACGGGTAGAGACGGAAGGTCGAGATTCGGGACGGGAAAGACGGTGATGGGGATAGAAATGCCGAGTATCAGTTTGTTGGAGCAGTGCCAGGCTGAACCATGATAGGAAAATTTGTCACAGCAAGGCTGACTCGGTGGTCAAAGATTTGCGACGGAGAGATTGGAGGTGTTGTGGCTCGCGACCGTGAAAGAGGCGAGCGAGCGGACTGGTGCCGGTGGTGGTGCCGGGACTGAGAGCTAGCACCAAAAAGGCCCCAAAAAGTAAAAGGTCGCTTGGGAAGCACGAAGGAACGAAGCGGTCGGTGAATGTTATCTGCAAGGATTAGCATTCCAGATCCGCAGTTGTCCCAAGGTCCAAGGATCGGAGTGACATCAATGCGTTGGGGCTCTTCAAAGTTGTGTGTCAGCGGAACTCGATTCGACGATACCACCCTCCCACCTTCCCTATGCTTGTTCTACGGGCAGAGCCGACCGGGATGCTTTGTCTGCGGTTACGTACTGATTGCCATGTCCATTCCCGGCTTAGGAACGCCAGCGGTCAGAGGCAATTGGCAATAAGGAGTCAATGGAGAGGGGAATGCCGTAATACGGTGAGGACGGGAGACCGGCAAAACCATCCCGCAGCGAACAACAATGATGCTAGTCCTGATCTGGCATCTACATGTTCACCGCCTTGTACGTACTCTGTATATCAGTTCTTGATTACGTGGGTGAAAGTCCAGTTCTTCTACCCCGCCTGCCCGCTCTTGCCCGCGGCCCCTCCTCTGCTCCAATTCTCAAGTTCTCTATGGCTCCTGCACATCTTCAGCCCCAATGCGGTGCTTCCCGTCTGTTGTCTCCAGACTCCAGTCGATCGGCAAAAGAGAAGCTGTGGCTCATGCGCTGCTCATCTGTGGCTGGTGCAGCTCTCATTTCATGTATCTTATACCACCGGTACCGTGGTGTGTGGCTGGATGAAATCTAATAAACTGCTCCGTCTTACTGTGAGGCGACATGACCAGATCCCCCGCCAAAAGGTCGCAGCCATTGCATCAAATCATCCTATCACATCTCACACTATTGAATCTCATGATGTCCGTCATGAGCGCCACCATGATCTGCTTACCTCTGCCTCTTGGGCACGGCTACCAGTCACTCTTCCCCCACAATCCCAGCTGAGCTTCTCATCTCCTTTCCCAAGAATATTCATCCATCTACCTTCTGCACTGAGACAACATGTCGGCACCAGCGTTACGGGACACTCATCGCTTGACCAAAACCACCCATGTCTTCGCGTGACGCACTATTCCGCTCGAGTGCGATGTGTACTCGTCTGGCGAATATCCGTCTAGTTCTCCCGTCTTCCTGTACTTCCACTCAGGTGGCCTCGTGAGCGGTTCCAGGGAATGCGTTCCACCTTGGCTGGTACAGGTGAGCCCTTCATCTTCATCGACAACTACCCGTGGTCCCACATAGATCTTGCTTCCTCAACCGACAAAGTAGCTGACCTTGCCGCAATAGATCTGCTTCAAGAATCAATGGGTCTTCGTTAGTGCGAGTTATCGGAAGCTTCCCCAGGCCGAAGCTTCAGGTCTGCTCCAAGATGCCACAGACGCTTACTGCTTTGCGAGATGTTGGGGAGTTATAGATGAATTTGCCTCAAAACGAAATGTGATCGTAGGCGGATCAAGTTCGGGTAAGAAAGCCTTCACGGAATCCACTTATCCTCAAAGTCCTGACTCTAGTTCTAGGTTTCTTCATGGCATCCCTGACAGCCCATCACCTCGAGCCATCTCCCGTTGCGTTGTTATCAATCACCGGCATCACTACCTTCCGTCATCCATTCTTCAGCTCTTCAGTCTTACTTCCACCAGAACCCATACACGAAGCGCAAATGAGCCATCACCTGTCCACGCCGGTATCCATAGGAACAACATCAGCGAATAACCCACGGGTCTTTCACGTCGACAAGATCCTTCAAGACGGCACCAAGAACACTGAGTTCGCACTGCCTCCGCTCCCTATCTCAGATGATGGCAACTGCGACGAGTTCCCCCGAGGATGTCTCTATGACTACTACCTCTACCGAAACGAGTTTCTCAATCTTGTTGGTGAAGTTGACCCAGGTTACGAGTGGGCTAAGGCCGAGGGGGCAAGCGTAGACTTGCAGCGTGGCCACACACGACCATTATACAGGGTGACGCTGATGAAGATGTTGGCCTCTGTGTGAGCACTCACATGGTTCATTGTCTCGGGGAAAGCAAGGTGAAGCTCTTCCTTGCCGAAGGACAGCCCCACCTTTACGAAGCGACGAGGTTCATTGAAGACGATGTGAATGGAATGCATGCTGTTAGACAGGCAGTATCGAGTCTGGAGGCCGACGTTGCTCGATCACTTGCCTGATCGATACTGTCTCACTGAACCCAGGCGAGACGGAGCCAAGTACAAGCTATTAGCGAGCTGTCATTGTTCCAAGTAAGATGGCCTTTTGGGCACGTAGCAATCAAAGGCCTACTGCCTGATTGCCTCATCGCACGATGTTGCTGGTCACACTGTGCAGTGTGCACCCCCAATTGTGAGCAATCATGCGGCCTTCGGCCAGAGAACCCCAAAGTCTCCAACGGCCCTGACCTGAATCCCTCAATTCAGGGGGATTTGCCAATCCACAGGCCCCAAATCATCACTTTGATTTCATGCACGAATCTAGCTCTCATCACCCTAGCTGGGGACGCTTGCAGATCCTTAAACCAAACCAACATGATGGTGTAGCGTTGTCATTGGCTGGTCTCCACGGGGCACATATGTACCGCATTGATGTCACCTCCGCCCTGGGCGCTTCCGGTGCCAATCCTCGCTCTCCCGGGGGCCGTTTCCCGTCACTATCACACTCGGGGCCATCACGTAAACTCTTTTGCCCAACAGCATCGCGAGACCGCCCCCGATCATCTTCACATAACGAGTCCGCTTTGCAGTCGCAATGCGGGGCCCTCTCATAAAACATCGGGAGCCATGGCCTTGCAAACATCTCATAGCGAATCACTTGGCATTTTCGGACCCCGCGCTCGTCACGGAGCTGATTTCTCGTAAGCTCGACTGATTCAGTCAGTGCCTGCGGCACGGCCATTGGCAGCAAACATCAAGTTGCAGGGAGTCAATCACACGCAGTGATTCGGCGCAACCCATCCCTTCACTTCACTTGTCTTTGTCAATTGGCGCAGTTGTTTGCTAGTGACGATGTTTATATAAAAGACCCCCTTCCCATTCTGTTTTCCCTTGCTTCGATCTTTGGAGTATTGCCAATCAATTCTCACTGCTGCTTTAATAACCTTCTCAAAGAATACCCGAATCAAGACCAAGATCCAACTATTGCTCACAACGAACATCTAGCACAAACCCTCGCCACATGAAACATTGACTAGATCAACGAAATCACGATGCACATCTCAGCCAAGTCCGTACTTGGCCTCGTCACCTTTGGCTTGCTCTCAGTAGCAAATGCATCGGTCGACGATTCTGAAAGCATGGTCCCTCGCACGTTCGCCAACGCCGACGGCACAACTTCAACAATACGCATGAACCGCAACATCAGATTCACCCAGGGATCAGAAGGCACCCGACCAGTCCGCCTATCCAAACGGTTTCCCTTCTCTTCCGGCAGAGATGAGTGGTGTGGAGAGCTGGCCGAGGACCCATCGACGGACTTTTCAGCTTCCGCGCCTTTGGCAGCAGACTGCCAGGCGCTTGCGAGCTCTCTCAGTAGTCAGAACGGATTTTGGACTTTGCAGCCTGGGGATTTCTCTTCCAATGGATGGGCTACTGTAGTGAGCTCGGGAACATGCAGCTTTGCCGTCAGATATGCCGACTCTGGCAGTGCGGCTAGCCCCATGAACGTTGGCACGAACGACATCCGCTTCTACACGACGAGATACGGTGTTATGGCACGGAACGGGAAGCTGGGATTGCAAGGGACTGTGCAGTGTTACAATGACCAGAAGATGTTGTTTGTTACTTGGGGATTAATTCACAGCTGAGCTTAACAAGCAAAGTGCCGATGTAGACAATGATGCCCTAACCGTGGGAAATCAACCTTGACTTAACCTCAGGTTGAAAGTAGTAATAAATGACAGTTACATGAGTGATATAAATCATTCTGAACGCAGGTTTGTTATGTTCGAGATCCTTGCGATGTCCATCACCCTAAGTCTCCTGGCAAGGATCTTTTCCATCATTTGGTGCTCCTTCTACTTACTTCCGTTCTTCACGGGCTTAGATCAGCTTCTCTATTGTGAAGAATGAGGAATGCGACATGATCTCTGATTCCCAGATGTCCCTTCACTTTTCAGACAATCCAGGCAATTGAACACCCGTCTTTGCTGGATGATCTTGTCTGCCTCCTTTTCGACTTCATACGACAAGTTACGGTTAGCGTACTTATTCGAACGACAGCCACAAACTCCAACCTCCCTTATACACGAGAAATCCATCATGGTGATCTTGGGTAGAGCAACTGCCGTATTCAATAGATTGCAGAACTTGTGAGTCGCGAAATCGATATCTTTTGGCAGAATGTTGGACTTTCGAAGAGTCTCAATGTATGACGCGAGTGCTTTGGCGGATCTCACGCATGGGTTCTGAGAAATGTCCCACGTCCATGTCATGGGACTGACAAGACCCCTGTAGAATGTGTTGCAGCATTCGTGTCTTTTGACCTCCAAACATTCTAAATGATCAGCGTCAAGATGAGATGCCACGAGCCTTGTTAATGAATTGACTTACGAATGATATCGTGCCTCAGCAGAGGATGGTCTGCTAAAACCCTGACTTGCTCCGAGGTTCGCAAAATTGGCCCTTCGTGGTGTAAAAAGATTCTCCAAGACAATTCCGAAAATTCCAGAGGAAGGTCTATCACATACGAGAAGACCAAAAGGTGACAAAGGTCGGACATTGGCGGCACATTCTCGTCGTAATCCGAGAGCCAATCCCTGATCCATACCATCCCGCAGTACTTGAGTGCCCCGGTGCATTCATACTTGTCGCTCACGAAAGCTAGCCTCGCAAGGCCAATCGGCTTTGGTCTCTCGGTAACGTAGGCATTGTGAAGAATCTGGCTCAAGATAGACATGGCTTCGGCATCGTCATCCGGGAGATCAAGACTGTAAGGAAGAGAGAGTCCGGTGCTCTTGGCCAGTTCCGCGCTTTCTTTGAACTTCCCGCCTAGCATCGCTTTGAAGACTGGCGAGTTCAACATAAGGACCTTCGAAGATACTCTCAGTTCTTTGTTCTGCAACTGTTCGTATTCCAGTAGCTTTGCGTCGGCGTCTACATCGTCTTCACCGTCTTCGGCAACATCGGAGTCGTCTAGACCCAGCCGGCTGAGCACAAAAATGAGATCTCCGTCTTTATCGATTTCGCGGCGAATGGACATGTTGGCTTGCAGACGTAGGTCTCCTATGGATTTGAAGATAACGGCATAGAGGTAAGACACGGAACAGTATTTGGCAGGTCATTCAACTCCCCGATGTCATGCGTCAATATGACCTCCCGGAAGGTTTCAGATCTGATCTTTTAACTTTGCTGTGTCAGCATACATACCCACGTGGTAGCTAGGAATAAGGTCTGTGAACGGGTCTCAAACGAGAAACCGAGCCGGAACTGGAGCTCGTTCTTCCCCCAAAAACTTGGGTGTGATCCTTGCTGGAATGGTCAATAAACGATGAATAGACATCGGAAGGAGCTATCATTATTCGAAAAACCAGTTCGTCCGTTCTACAGCATTCAGAGAATTATATTACCAGGTTTAGTAGATTGTCTTCCTTGCCATACATAATAACTGAAAGTAAAGTTGAGAGGTGGGCCAAAGAGTGAGAGGGGTTTACTGACAGGGCGACGTGGGCAGCTGAGACACTGGTCAATGACACGTGCCATCTGGAGTGGTTTAAATATAGAAATTGAATCTGACATTCATGGTAATTGATGCTCAACTCTCCGTAACGTTTGATTGCCGCTAGCTTTAGGTTATATCTTGGCCGTGACAACAAGTCCTAAATACATCTGTGGAAAGGCGTAAAATAAAGGACTTCTAACCTAAATGATCAAGATATATATTTACACGAGCTGTCGTTTTGGCGTGCGTCAATTGAGTAGTAAATGAAAATTTGAGATTGACTTCAGAGTGTATTGTAAGGTATCCGAGCTACTTCGAACTGTGAATAGCTCAAATTCCCAAGAGACTGATGTTGGCTAGTCCTTCCAAGGCCCTAATCTCCAGCAACGCCGGCATGCTTAGACGTAGGCGGCCCGCATGTTTGTCTCAAAGTGATTGTCGTTGAAAGGACAGTTCGCTTTCTTGAAGTCCCCCTTGTTCAGAGCGCTTTTGACGATAGGCTCCATGGCATCCCAATCCCAGATCCAGTATGTTCGACCCGCAGTGTTCGTGAACTGCAGCTCATGGTCCAAACCACCCTGGGTGTAATACTCGACTTTGACGTTGTTGCTGTTTCTTTGAGGGTTGCTGGTCAACTTGAATTTGCCATGTCCAGAGCAGGCGCCACCCGTGATGGTAGCAGAATTGACAGAAGCAGAATCAAGCCAGACGATTGAAGTCTCCCAGTCGTGACGGTGGCCGCCCACAACGTTGCCGTCGGCTGGCTGGTCCTTGGGCCAGTACCAAGCATACATGATTCCGAATTTTCCATTCAGGGACATGGAACGGGCGTAAGTCTGCCCTTTGTTGCCGTCCTTGCATCCTCCCGCGGTGGTGCCAGTATCCTGCAAACCGCCGCTTCCCCTCATGTCAGCATGTCTTGAAAAACGCAAATCCTGATCAAATACTTACCTGATCTGGTTGTTCTTATTCACAGCGGGGTAAGGCTGACAGCCATGGGCAATGTGAAGCAGCGGCTGAAACTTCTTGATGACGTTTCCATTGGGACCGAGAGTGTCGACCACCGGATTGAGTGAGTCGTGAGCGACAGTTCCCGGAGCAGGCCAGTCACAGAGACCACTGCCAACAAGGGCGAGAAGAGAGATAATAGTGGCGGGTTGCATCTTAGGATTCAGATACTGGTATTTGTACGATCAGAGTTGGTTGACAAGTATTCAGGTAAGGCTGGATGAAGAAACGGATGAGTATCTGCAGATGGAATGCTGCTGGACTTCAAGGCGAGTTGTAGCAGGTCTTTTATAAAGACATTGAGATGCTCGAGATGTCTTTTCCCTCTGTACTTCACCGGCTACGAGTCGAAAAGCCTTTCAAACTCGGCACGGTCCCGCGGCCCTGACGGACTTAGCTTAGATACGAGATAGATCGATATCCTTAGCTACCAGTCTGTATCGTATGATCGCACTCTCTCAAACAGGTAGACTGTGGACTGTGTAAACAGACGGCCCGAAAGAGTTAAGTTGCGTTCCTGCAACTATCGTGGCCAAAAGGATTCTCACGAGAGACACCATTCGGCTTTGTTTCGGGTCTTCGTAAGGGTCTCTGAGGGTGGATCTGTGAGTAGATCTGCTTCACCTGAATGATGCTATAATGGGGTCTCCCAATGTCACAATAGAAGTAATCTACCTTATCTAAGATTTTCCTATCGTCAATGGCCTCGTTGAATCGGGAAGCTAAACACACTCTCTCGTCTTGGGTGGGGATTCGGACAATGACGCCTTTCTTAGTAAGGGCCGAGACATGGAAGCTTTTATTGGCCTTCTGCTTCACCTTCCTCTCTTACACAGTTCCGTTGTAAAGCCATGAGACCATATGTGCTATGCCCTGTAATCTAGTTGCTGAAATTTCAGCGGCAATAACTTAGTAGCGGGCAGAATGTAGTTTACGAACTTATTCCTGATAACTTTATCTAGTTATGTTTTCTCTGAGTCCACGTGTGATCTATATCTGATTGAAGATTCAGGAAGTTGCCATGCTTGATCCGACAGATCTCTCGGTGCCTCGGAACACAACTCACCTAGGAATGACCAGGTATCAGCCGCTAGACTGAGTCGTAACGAGAGAAAATCGGAACTTTCAACGGGGGCCTTGTCCAAACCGGCATGTGTGTGGGTAAATGCTCAAAAGCTTCTCCTAAAGCATAAATAAGCCATGATCCGAGCCCCCCTTCAGTTAAATTTGGATTCAAGGTTAACCTTGGCTTATCCACAGGGCCAAGTCATGTTGTATGAATATTTATCAACCTTCTTTTGTCACCGAGATACGTCGGATACAGCGACTTCACGAGAAAAAACATTGTGTGGGGGAATGACATCACCTAACTTAATACCGCAGTGTACTGTCAAGTACGCATGAGCAACTTGCGCTCGGGAATCTGTAAGAGCCGGAGGAGGAACACTCCAACTTATGCCGCATATCTAGACTTTCCTGTCTGATGGGGAAACGGCCCGATCAGCTCGACATCAAAATACGATGTCGGCCTTCGGATCCGCAACTCGCCGTGAAATGCCCCCACAAGCAAGAATGGACTCAGCTGCAAGGTCATGATAGAGTCCATGCCCGACTATGGGGCCAGAAATAACTATGAGGACGGCTGTCAATTACAAGAATATTCACCTCAGATTTGGATTCAGATATGTTAGGGTGAAAAGAGTGCAGTGACGCCATAACTCGTTGATGATTCCCTGTGGATCTTTGCTGTCTATCAGGTCGATATCACGAGAGATAATTCGACTGGGATCATCCGAGCTGGCATCCACAGCGTTAGTTTCCTGAACTGTCACTCAAAAGTGTGCAGTTAAGCATCAGGCTTCGTGAGTACAAATCCAAGGAAACATCAAAACGGCATATTCTTGTGAAAGCGTTATTCTAAAGCTATTCCAAAGCTCAATTACTGCGTTACAAACCCCAGCCGTGATGACTATGCCCCATTTCACAAGGACCTGGTGTCTTGTCCGCCTGATTCTCTTGCATGATCCCATGTGACCGACCTAGATCTTGTCATCTTATGTAGGTACTTTACAATTAGAAGATACTTCGCGCATCTCACACTCCCAGAGACCGAAAATTGTGCAAGGAAAGCCAGTAGATAGGAGAGGACTACATTATGCTCTATATCTCCATTGTTGAAAAAAATGGTGCACCTGACGCAGAGTCAGCGACTCAGTCAAATTTCTAGAAGTGCATATCTCAGCTGTCCCGGGGAACTGATTTAGAATGTAGAGTTGGGAAACCTGGCAGTAAACTCTCCAACATTCTTCAGAAAAACGAGCACTTTCGAAAAGATTCCTTGGTAGGTCTTTTCTTCAGATTTATCTCTTCAAATTTATCCAAGGCCTATTGTTACTTCGAAAGCTGGCCTACGCAAATATACAGTCAAATTCGTGATGGCTTACGCTGTGGTCACAAGCTCTACCGAGCGGAACCTATATCCCGGCGACCGGGTTTCGTGAGAATCAAGGTGTGCTCAATATGCGGGGTCGCGAGAAAGTGATCAGCAGCCGGGCTAGCTGGCCTATCAGTATTAGGTAGGTAGGCTTGGGGACATCGTACAGAAGGAAACCTCGAGTTCTGCCAAGTATGTGACGGGATTGGTGCATATTTATTCTTTCGTCCGAGATACGCGGCCCTCACCCGAAATTGACATTGTGCCATTTTCTGAATGGCATTTCGCGAAATTCGTAGACGAGCTTTCTGCGGGATCAAGCGCCGTCTCCGCGATCTCGGGGCAATGCTTGTACTTCGGGGCGTCATCAATGACGAGATGGACGCCGTAGTGAGTCCACCGCGGCTGAAGACAGCTGGGGATGAATCGTTGATAAAGCAATGCAAGCAAGGTATCAACATAATACAAAGCCTACTCGATGGTCAACTCATTGATGTTATTGTTGCATAATTCTTAAAGAAACCAAGAAAACCTTAAACTCACGAACATGGCGTCATTCGGCCCAAAGACTGTTACCTTCCTCCTTATCTTCTATGGATTCATCAATGTTGCAAAAGCCGCTGGTGTTGCAGTGGCTGATGCTCAGGGGCGGCCACAATGCACACTGATTGCCAATGGCGACAAATTTAGCGACGTGGACAACATATTGGAAGCTTCTACTGTTTGCGGCACATCTGAAAACGTCATCTTCCCCGAGGGCGAGAATTACTGGATCGATAGAAAGCTCAACCCCGTCGTCCATGATGTGGACATTCAATGGCGGGGAGAATGTACTATAAGAAAAAGCACCCCCGGTCCGAGGGTGATTTTCCTACTAGACGCTGACCTTGGCAGTTCTCTGACAACATCACTTTCTGGAGATCCGATGGCTATTTCATCTTCTACCAAAACTGCCGTGCTGGCTTCGTGCTCTCTGGTGATGGCATCCGTATCAACGGTTATGGAACTGGCGGTATCCACGGAAACGGGGACGCATGGTATACCGCCGAAAAGGGTGCCACAGTTGAAGGCCGTACCATGGTATTACTGCGCCTTCTGACATCCTTATTATTGGATAATTAGCTGACATCATTCGACATAGCCATTCGTTCTTTGGAACGTCAGTGATGTGACAGTCAAGAACTTCTACATAAGACAGCCTCAGTTTTGGGCCTACAACATCATGAACGGAACGGCCATGTACTTCGATAACATCTCTGTCAATACTACTTCGACAAAAGCACCATCGCGGTACAATTGAGTTCAAAACACAGATGGCTTTGGTAAGTAATTAACGATTCTGCCGAGGTCAGCCGAATCTACTACTGTCGAGAAATTTGTAGATACAATGGATGTACACAATATTCGCGTCAAGGGCTTCAACTACACTGGCGGAGATAACTGCGTTGCCTTCAAGCCCCGATCGTACAACGTTACCTTGGAAGGCGTCACCTGCAACGGCGGTAACGGCATTGCGATTGAAAGCTTGGGTCAGTACCTCGAGGACTGCAGCGTAAAAGTTTTTGTTATGGACGATTTAGTGGTAAGACCAACCTACCCAAAGACTTCTCTCGAAGACACTTGACTAAACACGAAGTCTCAGCTCAAACGTGGACCGGTCGACTTACGCTACGGGACCTATCTCAAAACATGGATCGGAGAACTCGTGCCTCAAGACAACTATGAGAGCGCAGGAAAACCCCGCGGCGGCGGTTGGGGCCGAATTCGCAACGTTCTCTTCTCAAACGTTCGCTACGATAGGGTGAATCATGCCCCCTCGATTTACCAAACTAATGGCGATAATGGGTCATATGCCGGTACGAGCAATATGGAGATATCAAATGTTGTCTTCGCCAACATCACCGGGACGCTATCCGGCACGACGAACCGAGTCAGCCTGACTTGTAGTCAAAGGTTCCCGTGCCACGACATCACTTTCCAGAACTTTGATCTAGTTGCTGGGAATGTAACGACTACTAGCTGTGCAGGCCGATGGACTTTGGCTGACACCGTGACCGGACTCCCAGGGTGTTGAAAGCGGACTGCGGGCCAGGTTGTCTCGCATTGTGTTAATGAGGCGCGTCTCAAATATTGGTACATTAGGTTGTACGCGGGGAATGTTCTGAAGAATGTTCTGAAAGATGCTCTCCTGGTCGTATATTATACAGCCATAGCCCTCTTTGCGAAATTGACTCTATCAAGCCGACGTGAGCTTCCCTGCCAAACACCAATAGTAAATGTCTGCAAGACTACCACTGCTTTCTTCCAACCTCACTCAATTCATAATTCACTGAGTCTGCGGGCATCATATAATAGACAGCTCGGTTAATCATCCAAAGCTGATCAATGTGTGCTTCTCCTTCTCGTTCCATCGGTTAGAGGTTCTTCGGGGGTGTCGTCTAACGATTTCCTCCTGAATACATCTCGTACGCTGTGAACGAGACTTAAACCTCTGTGTGATGAATCTGACGAGGAAGTACTCCAAACACTGCTTCGTCGAGGCACTACAGATGGCTCCTCCTCAACCAGTCTGGCATCTGCGTAATGACCTGGATTGGTGCGTGTCAGCGATGGGTGATGATCATCACGAACGAGGAGAAGCTCACGTATATTGCCAGCCCC